TCATAATGAGAATCTATAAACAAGTTAAAAAAAATTAAGTATGAAATGAATAATTTATTATTAATTTAATATTGTGATTAATGATATTCATTTAAATTATGAGAAAGAAGTTAATAAATTTTAAGTATGAAAATGAATATTTTAAAAGATTGATTATTTACAATACTAAATGATTCATTATTCACAATGCTAAATTAATAATTTTAAATGATTCATTATTAACAATACTAAATGATTCTTTCACAACACTTAATGATTCATTATTCACAATACTAAATAATTCATAATTCACTATGCTAAATTAATAATTATAATGATATTCATTATTAACAATAACAATTTTATTATTAATTTAGCATTATGAATAATGTATAATTTAGTATTGTGAATAAAGAATCAGTTTGTATTGTGAATAATGAATTATTTAGTATTGTTAATAATGATATTATTTTAAATGATGAGAAATCTCATAAGAATAAATAAATTTCATTAAGCCTCTAAAGGAATAGAATATAATTTTACTTTAATAATTGCACATTAAATATTAAATTAAAATATAGTAATTAAATGCTCTTATTTATCTTTTTTTTGGTAAGTCCGTAAAAATTTTTAGAGGATTTTAATATATAATTAGCTATTTTATCTTCCTCCACTTTATTAAAAACACATTTGTGATTTGAATATCCCAAATATCTTGCTATATTAGATTTTTGAATGCCTAAAAAATATATATAATAATATAAATAATCTTACCTGTAAGTAATGATGACTTTCTGACTGAGGCTGTTGGATATAAAATTAAGGGGTTTTGATAATCTTCTGTACAAAAGATTTTTCTTTCCTTTTTATTGTAATTCCGCATCACTAGTAAATGATAAAATGAGCTAAAATGGCGTGTCCCAACTACACTATGACCAACTATGACCGAGCCCACTAACTTTATAAATATCATATAAAATTATATTAATTCATGTTTATTGATTCTGAAAGTTTGCCAGATTGGAAAATAGGGTTTAAACTTTCCTAAAATTTATTTATTATGATTTCTAAAGTTTTATTTATAAATATAAACGATAAAGTTTGCAAATACTTTTTATTACTTTTGGTATGCCAAAACATATTTTCTTCTGTAAATATTAAAATATAAATATTTTTCAAATCTTTTTTAGCCAATCATGTATGACGTAATTATCTATGTTAGGCTCAAATTTCCAGTCTTATAAAATAATAGCTCAAATTATAATTAGAGTGTCCTAACTTTCCCCTGTACTCAATGTACCCCGGTCTCCCCTACTATAGAAAAGTGACAATTGTCATAATCGTTATTTTAAAAGTTTTTTGAATTTTTTTGATGAAAATGGGTTAAAATAAGTATTGCTAGCATGTTTAAATAAAACTTCAGTGAAGATTCTACCCTAGATAAGTGACAATTGTCAGAATCGTTATTTATATTTTTTGAATTTTTTGACTCAAATGGGTAAAAATATAGATTATAAACATGTTAAAATAAAATTTCATGAAGATGTACCATAGAAAAGTGACGATTGTTATAATCGTTATTTTTAAAGTTATTTGAATTTTTTTGACGCAAATGGGCAAATATAAATTGCTAGCATGTTAAAATATAATTTCATTGAAGATGTACCATAGATAAGTGACAATTGTCATAACCGTTATATTTAAAGTTTTTTGACTTTTTTTGATGCAAATGGGTATGAATATAGATTGTAAACATGTTAAATTAAAATTTCATGAAGATGTACCATGGAAAAGTGTCAATTGTCATAATCGTTATTTTGAATCTTTGAACTTATTTGACGCAAATGGGTTAAAAATAGAGGGCAATCCATTTTTACCATATGTTTTTAAAATTCAAAATCTTAACATTAAATTTATAGGATGTTGATTGTATCATATTGATAAATAATATTCATATGGTTTTTAAGTTCTTCTTAAAAAATCTAAACCTAAATTCTGACTCAGCACGATTTTGGCATGAGTATACAAAAATATTTGCTAACTATGAATGCAGGGTTAAACATTTTAATAGATATAGAATTAAAATTTATTAATTAAAGGAATAAGATTGTGAATCAATATCTTAAAAGTTTAGAATTTAACATGAGATACAACCCTCTTTAATAATCAGTTTGATATTTTTATCAAATTTTAAGCAGGATAAATGGGACAACGAATATGAGCATAAATTTCCATTTGCTTCTTTGTTTAGGCAAATGATACCAACACATTTCTCAAAAAAATGTAAGAAATTAAATTGAAACAAAATATCTTTATGAATGATTTCTTGAAAAAATATTGGAAAACATTAAAAATAACGATTATGACATGTGTCACTTTTCTATGGTACATCTTCATGAAATTTTAATATAACATGCTTACAATCTACATTTTTACCCATTCGCGTCAAAAAAATTCAATAAACTCTAAAAATAACGATTATGACAATTGTCACTTATCTAGGGTATATCTTCACTGAAGTTTTATTTAACATGCTAACAATACTTATTTTAACCCATTTTCGTCAAAAAGATTGGAAAAACTTTAAAAATAACGAATATGTCAATTGTCGCATATGGTAGATCTTAATTGAAATTTTATTTTAACATGTCATTATAGTAACATCTTCATTGAATTTATAATTTCACATCTTTACAATATAAATGATATTTTTACCCTTTTGTGTCAAAAAATTTCAAAATCTTAAAAAATAACGAATATGGCAATTGGCACATTAAATTATTTTCCTTAAAAAGATCATATAAAATAACATAAAAAAGTTTATTATAAATATTTTAAAAAAAATTATTTAGAATAACCACCTCTTTTTATATATACTTAAAAAATAGAAAATAATGTTTTATTTTATTTTATATTTGATATGTTAATTTTAATATTATTTTATTTGATAGTAGTAATAAAAGGACTATTTAAAAATTAAAAAAAAACTATAATAGATTTCACCTAAAAGATTGTTTATTTATAATAAAATTCACAAAAGAACTCCTCAAAAAAGATTTATTTAGAAAGAAGATTAAAATTTTTTATATCAAAATATGTTCAAAAAATATTTTTTGCTTAAAATTTTGGGCGTGAACACTAATAAATTGTAAAAAATAATATTACAATAGTAATATCATTTTTATTTATTAAAAAAACATCAAATAACATTATGTTATTTTCCTTTAAATAAATTCATTCCCAATATATTTATTGTTTCGCGGTAATGCGCTCGCTATTATGACTTGGCGCAAACATATTCGTTGTAAAAAATTCGCTGTAATGGGTTCGCGTAAAAAGTTTCGCTAAAATGCATTCTCTATAATAAATATTAAATAGGCAGTTAGTTTTATCAGTAAATTTGCTATAATGGCTATGCGAAATTGTCTTCGCTATAAATGTTTCACGGAAAAAATTCGCCATATTGGTTTAACTTAGCTATAAAAATATTTCGCGATAAACGTCAATTCACGATAAAAGATTTTATCGAAAAAAGGTTTTGCGATAAAAGTTTCGCTGAATTGACCAGAAACGTTATATTATTATTTGGTGTTTGATTAAACTGCAAATGCCTAGGTAAACTGCAACTCAGGTAATAATTTTTGATATATACTCTATTAATTGAAGTGAGATTCATTATCTTATGATATAAATAACTTATAAAAATTAAATTGTTAGAAATGTTCAATAATAAAGGAATAAACATTAATAGTTCTATTTCTTTTTTTCTCATAATAAATAGTTTAAATATTTTTATATCATAATAAATAATTTAAATCTTTTAATATAATTATATATAAAAATTATAATTGTAATAAATGAGAGGTCCCTTAAAGAAAAATAATATAACCATAACTTTATTGCATAATTTTAAATAATATAATTATAATTATATGGTGAAAACATAATAAAATTAAAATTAAAAAATGAAATTTTAAAAGAAAAATTAAAAAGAAAATGATTCAAAATTAAGAAAATTATATGCGAAAAATAAAAAAATGGACAACTCCAATTGTTAAACTCTTAAAGTATGAAAAATCTACAATTATCACGCGTTTTCCTCTCATTTGTATAGTCTATCTAAGACTTAAATAATAAAGTAACAATTTTAATAAAACATTGTTTTTGTATGAATTTTATCACAATTTGAATAATAGATCCTTTTGTAACAGATTATTATAACACCCTTTCACTTAAGTCAGACCCAGCATTAAGTCAATGACCAACTTTATTCAATTTCGACTTTACTGTTTTTATATCTCCACTAAATCTATTCTGCTATCTTTAATGTCTTCTAATTTCTAACGATGGCTGTTCCTTGTCTAGTATTCTTAGTTCCTAACGGCCATTCGTATCCAATTACTGCTTGAAATTCTTGAATTATATCTTTTGTTCCTCATCAACCCCTGGTAAACGATTAGCTCTTTTATAGGAAATACGAACTCGATTAACGCATGCTTTCAACGATTCACGATGACTAGTTACCAATTATTGATTGATGCTATTCTCTCTTACAATTTTTTTTCTTCTAAACCTCATTTTAAATCCTCTCTTGATAACTTATTCTAGTCTTTGCTTGTTTCTAACGTTCTCTTGTAACTAATAACTCTTTATCGCGGTAATTGACTATAACGGGTAATGGATTACGATTACTTGTAAACGAATATATGAATTCTAGTCTCTTTTCAATTATAGTCCGTCTTCAATTCTTCAGGGAAATTTTCGTAGTCTTTGCTTCTTTCTAGCGGTTTCTAGTAACTAATGATTAGCATATTATCTGATAAACACGAATTCTTGTCCCGATGATCATCAAGTTCCATATCTTAGGCTAAAGTTTCAGTAAACAATTGGCGATATTTGTAAGCGATTAACGATTGCAGCATGAAAGTCTCGAACATCTGTTCTATCTAGTCTCTCGTTTCCAACGTTCTTTTGTAATTGATTAGCTATTTTCATCTAATTCTTGTATATCGATCTTTTAGATTTCCGTGACATCTACGACAGTTTGCACTTGCCAAGGTATCGACTTTGTCTTAGATCTCTTTATTCTCATTTACCCTGAATTAATAGTGAAGAGCGATTGCGATATCGCAGCGACCGATCAGCTGGATCGATCGCAGCGATTTTCATTATAGAGCAGTGCAAAGCGTTATTAATTCAAAATGGTATCCCTCCTCAAATTATTATTTTTATACAAAATGATGTTGAAGAGGAGAAGATTAAACACGCTTAATATTAATAAAAGAAAAGAAGGCGAATTTTACATCCTCTTTCCTAAACTCTTAAAAGATGATCCTAAATTTTACAACTATATGAGGATGACAAAAGTAATTTTATTCTATTTTATCTATAATTCATTTTAATTTAGGAAACCTTTTATTATATAATTAGGCATATAAAACCTATATTGCCTACAACATCATCAAATTTTATAAAGGATCCTATAACTGTTGAAGAATGATTTGTCTAAGGTAAAGCAATTAATTATTTAAATATATTTTTTATTTAGGTATTTAGCAACAGGATGTAGGTATCCTACCCTAGCTTATTCTTTCAAAAGGGGTATATCTACCATCCAACAAATTATTAAGAGAACTACCAAAGCAATATGGCAAGCTTTGGTAAGCCAACATATGCCACCACTTACTCTCTCTGATTTTGAGAGAATAGCGAAGGTAAATATAGTTAATATTATATTTATGTTAATTATTTTTTAAAAGGACTTTGAATTAAAGTGGAATCTACATAATTGTATAGGTAGTATTGATGGTAAACACTGCAGAATAAGGAAACCACCTCATTCTGGCAGTGGATTTTACAATTACAAACATTTTTTCTCTGTTGTTTTACAAGGTTTGTGAATTTGTTTTTTATTTATGCTAATTAAATATTTCTGCATTAATTAAAGATTGCAATGAAAACTTGATAATTACAAAAATATAATTTTTTTAAAAAAATATATTATTTAAATATTATAAAAACAAGGAATTGTAGATGCTAATGGAAAATTTATAACTGTTGATGTTGGCAGTTTTGGCAGTGAATCTGATGGAGGAGTTTTTGCTAACTCCAAAATATATAAAATGATAGAAAGTGGAGAGATTAAATTGCCTCCTGCAAAAAAATTGCCCAATTCCAGCCTTATTTTCCCACATTATTTTGTGGGTGATGATGCTTATCCGTTGAAGTCTTATATTTAAAACCTTACAAGGGTATATATTGAATTATTTATATAATATATAAAAGCAATTATTTTGGCTAATATTAACTTAATTGAAATGGCCAGTTTCTTAATAATCATGAATTATTAATTTTTTATATAAAATAAAATTTGTTTTCAATATTATCTTAAGGTAAACTTACACCCCAACAGGAGGCCTATAATTATAGAATGGGCTAGAATACAGGTGGAATGCACATTTGGTATTCTAAGAGCTAAATGGATGATCTTTGATCGACCAATGGATACGAAATTAGAGCTAACAGAAGATATAATTAAAACATGTACCTTACTCAATAACTTTATTATTGATAAGGAAAAATATATTCCTTTTAACCCTCAAAAAAAATCAACCCCTTTAAATAATTTATTAATCAACAATCAATTAAATCTTCATCAAATATTTCAAAATATAATAGAAATTTATTATGCTTATATTTATATCAAAATCCTATATTATAAATATATATTATATACAATTTTTTTTTTATAAATTAAATTATATTTTATCTTGTATTTTTCATATATTTTAATAAAAATAAATTTAGTTTTAAAAAAGTCTAAATTCATTATAAATTATATGTGTAGAAATATATTACTAAGAAGGCTAATTGTGTAATTTATTTTAAATAAAATATATATTTCAAATAAACAAATACATAAAAATATCTATTTCAAATAATACAAATACATAAAAATATCTATTTCAAATAATACAATTAAATAAAAATATCTATTTCATATAACATAAATATATACAAAATAATTTTTATCAATTCAAATCTTTTATACATTTAAAATCTTTTGTAGCATCAAATATTATAGTTGTTAAATCCTTTTTTCCCTTATTTGTACAATCATCTAATTTTTCTTTCAACATAAGACATATTCCATATGTAGTTGGTTTATTTTTAAGCATTTCCATGGTTATTAATGTTTTTTCTTCTTCTAATTTTATTAGTTTCTTAAAGTCATCTATTTAAAAATTTTCAATAAATCAAATAATAAAATTACCTAAATCATTTTTCTTTCTCTTATGACAATTATAATATGAACGAGGTGATAGAACATAGGAGATAGATTCTTCAATATAAATAATATTTATTTTTAGATATTATTATTTACCAGAATCATTAAGGTTTAGTTCTATAGGAGGTTTGGGAATAAGTTTATCATCTATTATATTTTCATTATCAATGAGATCACCTAAATAATAAATACATTATCAATTAAAATTCTATATTTTACATTCATATAACCCTTGATATTTCATTTAATATCTCATTGACGTTTGTAGGAGTAGAGTCCACTTTATCTAAAGAGGACTGCTGTAACCTTGGTGTTACAGTATCTACCAAGAATTGCATATCCTGGTAGAATGGCCATGAAATATGATGGCCAGCCTCTGACCCACTTTTAAGTTTGTGAAGGTTCCTCTCTTTTAAGAAACAATCTCTTAGATTTTTCCAAAGAGCTTTGAAAGATGAACCTAAAAAGGTTTATAAATATAATATATATGCAAAATTATTACTGGGAATATTATACTGGTGGGCTAATAATTCCCAAATATTATTCTTGTATATAATATTTTTATATAAATTATGTTTATTATACAAACAATCATATTCTTTAACTGATACTATAAAAGCTGTTTTATCTATTTTCTAAAAAATTTTTTTTAATTGAAATCATAATTTTAACTTGATGATTCTTTGATTTTACATCATCAAAAAATGTAACCATTGAATTCATTTCAAATAATCTAAAAATAGCGCTAAATCTTAAATTTTAAGATAAATTCACCAAAATGTGTATTTAACGAAGCAATATTTCAAAATCTTCGCGATAAACACAAAATGATTTGTATTTTGAAAAAATCGCGGCGATTTGCTTTCGCGTATCAAATCACGCGATCGGTAACTATGAATGAGATATCATATTTACTGTATTTTGTATTTATCGCGTCTAAATCGCAATCGCAATCGCGCCACTATGAATTCAGGGTTAATCTTTGTCTTAAGGTCTCGGGTAATCGCATCTAATCTACTTCTACCTAAAATAATCTATTTAACCCTTTATAACTTCTGAAATATTTTATCACTTTTTCTTACATTTATTCTCAAATTTATAATACACAGTTCAATATAGCAATAAAATATATCATATGTCCACTTCGTCTTAATGTATAAGCTTATCGCCTACGATCTAATTCTTCCTTACATAATTTATTAAATTTCTTAACTTCGAAATATTTGCTCACTTTTTTCTCTAAATTAAATCTTAAAATAATAAAATATGCTTAATAAATTTTATATCAAATTCTACCACCCCTTTACCCTCAATGAAGCCTAGACCCATATCTTCTTGAACTATCTACAGGTAGTCGTCCTTTAGCTATCAATCAACATCCTTTGTCAACCATGTCTAAAGCTGAATTTAAATCTAAAATTATCTTGAATATCTTGATTCTAAAAAATCTTAGTTCTAAATTTTTACCCAAAAGATTTTGTCTTCTTCATTCTGCATGGATCTTTTATCTAAAAGCTCGGTATTTTCTTATATCTAAAACTTCATTAAAATAATTAAAATAGTATTTCCATATTTTTCGCTCGTTTTTCTGTTATAATTAGAAAACTAATGCATAATTATTCTTAAATCTTATTAATGATCCAAAATAAAAATCCGATCTCTAATTGAGTCAATTGCGGTATGAATTTTCTAATGACGAAAGCCATACTAATATTTTGGTTAATCAACAACCTAATATTTTACTAAATATTATCAACTTATGCGTATCTTAATCACATCTTAGATCATTGAGGCTGTTTTTATCTCTCGCAGCCCTTAAAATAAATGTTTTTATTTAAAAAAAATATTTTTTTTTCACCATTTTATATATTGTTTAGTAAGTTTTTTTTTATGAGTTTATAATAATACTAGCTAATAACCCGTCAAGAATGACGGGGAATTAGAATTTTCTCCTTTATAACTATTTTTATATCTTTAAAAACTCAATCTATGAAAGGATGAGAGATATTAGGGCTCCCAGGTTCTTAAATATAGTCGAGACATCCCGGTGCTTGAGACATTTTCTTTATTGTCAATAAAGGACACAAATATACACCTTGCTCACATTTAAAAGATAAAAGAAAATTTTACCCAATAATTAAGATTTATTACATGGAAACAATGTCTCTTATTGGAACTCCAAATACTACATTATCCACCAGAGCTCCTGTTAGTCAGCATTTCTGTTCACTCCCCACCGCGTGAAGGTAGGAGATGGATTTTAGGGGAGCAAAGAAATGAAAAAAAGAATGAATAAAAGAAGGAAGGAATAGAAAAAAAGAGACAAAGATATGAATTATAAGAAAATATAATAATTGTGTATACCTTAAGACTTAACGATTATGGGGTTCCAACACATATACATTTGTAACCATATAAAAAAATATAATGTAGTAAAATTTATTGATGATGATGATGGTATCGTGTCTATGATGTTTTTGGTCGATGTAGTGTCGTTTTTTTGATGTAATTTCCTTGCTCGTAACTTGCCGTAAATAACTGGAAATAAAACGTGTAAATTGGAAGTATAAAATAAAATTTACTGATGATGATGATGGTATCGTGTCTATGATGTTTTTGGTCGATGTAGTGTCGTTTTTTTGATGTAATTTCCTTGCTCGTAACTTGCCGTAAATAACTGGAAATAAAACGTGTAAATTGGAAGTATAAGATAAAATTTACTGATGATGATGATGGTATCGTGTCTATGATGTTTTTGGTCGATGTGGTGTCGTTTTTTTTTGTAATTTTTGCTCGTAACTTGCCGTAAATAACTGGAAATAAAACGTGTAAATTGGAAGTATAAAATAAAATTTACTGATGATGATGATGGTATCGTGTCTATGATGTTTTTGGTCGATGTAGTGTCGTTTTTTTGATGTAATTTCCTTGCTCGTAACTTGCCGTAAATAACTGGAAATAAAACGTGTAAATTGGAAGTATAAGATAAAATTTACTGATGATTATGATGGTATCGTGTCTATGATGTTTTTGGTCGATGTGGTGTCGTTTTTTTTTGTAATTTCCTTGCTCGTAACTTGCCGTAAATAACTGGAAATAAAACGTGTAAATTGGAAGTATAAAATAAAATTTACTGATGATGATGATGGTATCGTGTCTATGATGTTTTTGGTCGATGTGGTGTCGTTTTTTTTTGTAATTTCCTTGCTCGTAACTTGCCGTAAATAACTGGAAATAAGACGTGTAAATTGGAAGTATAAAATAAAATTTACTGATGATGATGATGGTATCGTGTCTATGATGTTTTTGGTCGATGTGGTGTCGTTTTTTTTTGTAATTTCCTTGCTCGTAACTTGCCGTAAATAACTGGAAATAAAACGTGTAAATTGGAAGTATAAAATAAAATTTACTGATGATGATGTTGGTATCGTGTCTATGATGTTTTTGCTCGATGTGGTGTCGTTTTTGATGAATTAACTTGAAGCTACAGAATTTAATAAGTCCTGATATACGACATTAAGAGTAAATACTCTATCATCATTCAAAAGTGTGCCCTGGTTTTTTGTAGGTAATATTTTTATTTTCATATTTTTTTTTAATCTGCAACTTGTTAGAGCGACATAGAGCTGACCATGGGAAAACACAGGTTCAGGAAGAAAGAGGCCGACATTGTCGAATGTTTGACCTTGACTTTTGTTTATAGTGATAACAAAAGCAGGAATTATAGGAAATTGGCGTCTTTTTAATATGAAAGGCAACCGGGAATCACTCGGGGAAAGATCAATTCGAGGAATAAAAACGCGATGGCCATTATGCGTCCCTGATAATATCAGAATCTATGAAATTATCATGTAAATTTTTGATAAGAAGTCGTGTCCCATCATAAGCATCTGCTGGGATTCATGTTACGAAGAAGCATTATTATTGTCCCAACTTCAAGATTTAAAATATGAGGAGGCATTCCTGATGGGGTTTGAGAATGAAGAAATTCAATGGGGAAATAGTAAATTCTTAGGATTATCTGTTTGTATAGAATCAGCGCTAAAATATATCTTAGAATTTCCTGGTAGTTTTTGAATAATTTCCTTATTTAAATTTAGGGCTATGTTATTTTTAGTGGTTAATATAATTTTTTTTGAAAATAGGTTAATATCAGATATTTGTATGGAGTTTCCATATATTGAATTGATTAATGAATTTTCTAATAATGAATTTGGGATTTCAATCGAATCTGGAGAAAGTAAAGGATTGGAAACATTTGATAAAGATTCTCCAACATTCAAAAGCCAGGAATTATACTCAACATCTTCAGAAGATAACCGCATATTTTCGTTAAGGTGGATAACTTTAAAATAAACCCATAAATCAGAAGACTTAAGACACGATTCATTAATATCTGCTTTTGAACTGTTTGGAATGACAGGTAAAGTTTGCCTAAAATCGCCGCCCAATAATATAACTTTACCACCGAATGGGAACTGTGTTTGCATTATATCTTTAAGTAATCTATCGATACAGCGTAAAGCGTATTTAGTCATCATTGTGGCTTCGTCGATAATAATTAATTTGGACCTTTTAATAACAGTAGCATCAGGGGAATGAAGACTCATGCGAGATACAGAGTTATCAACAATCGGAATAGGTAATTTAAATCCACTATGTATTGTTCTACCTCCTTTTAAAAGAATAGCGGCAATGCCTGTTGTTGCAAACGGTAAAACTATTTTGTTGCGTCCTCTAATGTAGCACATTAGGGTATTATACAAAAAAGTTTTTCCCGATCCACCTGGACCATCAATATAAAAACAACGCTGAGTAAAATCATTATTTTCGATAGATTGAACGATTAAATCAAAGGCTGATTTTTGTAAAAAATTTAATTTAGTAATTAGTTTCAATGCCTCAGCTGCCTCAAGATCATTATTATAAAAATCATCCTGAGCTATTAAAGTAGGAACAGGCAAATTGAAATTACTACAACGAAAACCATGGTCGTGCAATACTTTTTCTATATCTGATAAGGCCATATTAATTGCAATAGAATCTGTATGGGTATGTGCGAAATCTTCTATCATATATTTTTTAAATTTTTCCCAGAGGTTATTTGGATTTTCTGGCTCACAAAAAATACAAATAAAGGCAAACGATTGACGCAACTGTATGGGCATTAAAAATGTTGACGCTTCTTCCATAAATGCTTCCCATTCCTTGTCATCAACCAATAAATTTCTTTTAAAAGCCGCCTCTTTAAAAGTATTATATAAAACTCCATTAACAGTTCTCAAATATTCAAAACTTGTGGCGCCAACAACATGAAGTAATAATAAACGTAGGAAAAATCTCTCGCCGGATTTAGGATCAACAGTATACATCCTTGATATTATATTGTTTTGTCTTTGTCTAAGTTTCCACTTATTAGCGCTGAAAGTATAATGATATGGTATAGTGACATATAAATATTGACGGGCATTAACATCATTTTTATTTAATTCAAACCAGGCAGTTTTATTTAATTCAAACCAGGCAGTTAATGTAGTATTTCTGCTGGCAGATTTCTCTAATGCCTGACGTTCTTGTCCTTCTATAAAATATACCGGTTGATGAAATGGCAAGTGTATTGCTAATCGATTTATACCGTGAGATCGATCATGCATACGATTTTCTAATAATCTCCACATGGCTTCACATGCACTTACATATCGGGCATTTATATGCATTCTAATTTCATCATGAGATTGAAGCGAATTAGTTTTAAGATCTATATTAGCGCAGTCGTATCCTTTGTAAACGTACTTAAAAATATATTTGACGGATTTTATTGATGTACATATTTCAACATTTATGTGTGCATTAAATTTTAATAATAGATATTTGTTATAAGGGATTACGTATCGATTATCAACTGGCTTACCTCCGACATGAATAAAACCCTTATCTCTACGTTGATAAAATGGATATCCATTCGCATTGTGTTGAGATTCTTTTTGAAAATCTTTCGGAAATTATTTTGTACACGAACCATTTTCCATGCATGGTGAGTGAGGATTCAAAATACCACATGGTCCATGTATCATATAATCGGGGTTCGATATTTTTATCTGGGATTTCAGCTCGAACAAAATTATCTATACACTCGGTTGTTTCAATTTTATTATTTTCGCTTAATATAATGAGCAGATGAGCATGAGGTAATCCTCTCTTTTGAAATTCTATGGTATAAACATACGCCGAACATTTGCCAAAGAAATCTTTTTTAAAAATATCGTATAATAATTCAGATAATTTTAAATGAAAAACTCTAGCTAATAAATTAGGTCTATCCGAAGGGTTCTGGCCTTTATAAAGATTTTCTTTAATTTCCCTCCAATTGGGATTGCATGTAAAAGTTATAAATAAATCAGGCTTACCAAACTTAGAAACGATAGCCATAGCATCATGATATCGTTCACGCATGTTTCTATCGGACCCCTGAAAAGAAGAAGGCAAAATAACGGCTCTTCCTAGAGGTAAATTAGTATTATCATTTGCTTTAGAAATATGATCCATAAGCCCTGAATATTCCTCTACACGTAATTTTGATTGGTTTAATTTTATATAATTCAAATTATTAGCTTCGACTTGGAGGAAAGAATCAACAACATATTGATGAAATAATCGCCCAGCATAAAGAATAGGATTAAAAATGTTAGCACGAATAGCTAACTTTGATATTTTAAATTGTAATATAGTTATATTTGATCTTGTTCCCTTGTTAAATGGCCCATTAAATTTCATATCCGTATATCATCCATGATCACCATAAGGAAATAGTAAAGGATACACCATAGAATCTAAATTTGGGCTAAGAATATTTAAGATAACTAAATTTGAATCATCATTTCGTGGATAAACTTTAACATCACGTTCAAAAGGTGGTTCTCCATCATCGTTATTAAAAATCATTGCTACTTCATCAATAGTAGGAATTTTAAATCTTCTTCTATCATTCGCACGATCACGGCGAAAAATCATATTTACCTTTAATATAGGACGGTTTTCTAACCGAGCTTTCATTTCTTCGGCCTTCTCAACCTCACCCAATGTTTGAAAGCTAATAGCATATGTATTTATTTGACGAATTAAAATATCAAGTTTTTTTAATAAATATTTTTAAATTTTGCATCAGATGGTTTTTCAGAAATAAAATTTAATGCATTACAATATGGGCATAGAATATTTAATGGCCCACAGTAATGTTCAACTTGTTCTTGATTTTCAGTATCTTCAAGATGATTGGATGTTGAAGCAATAATACAATTTGATTGTTTATTTCCAGTATCTTCAAGATGGTTGGATGTTGAAGGAATAAGACTTTGCTCATGCCTTTTCTTGCTACGACAAAGTGCCTGTCTCTTTCTAGCTTTCTCCTTATGTTGATTTATTATTAAAATTTAAAAATACTCAATTTTATAAAAATAAGTTTAGTTTAAAATATTTATTATTGTGGGCATAAAATAAAAATACTAAATACATACTTCATAAACATATTTATAAAAAATAATGGAAAATATTAGAATAGCCCCTCACCTAATATATATATATTTCGGAATCACATCTTATAAGATAGGAAAAATCTGATTCCTCGTCATTCTTGACGGGCTATCAGCTAACATACAATATAAATTAAAAAAATATAAAATTTACTCTATAGGATGTTGAAGCAATAATGCCTTGCTCTTTAGATTTTGGTAGTATGAAACGTTCCATTGTTTGGTTTTGTTGAATGGTATCTTGTGTAGGAATCTAAAAAAAATAATAAATAGTATTTATAAAAATTTTAACTTACATTGCCTATGAGATAACCTTAAAAAACTATTTAATATTATATGTATTTATTATGTAAGTTTGTTTTTTTGTATAGGAATCTAAAAAAATAGTATTTATAAAAATTTTAAATTACATTGTCTATGAGATAACCTTAAAAAACTTATTTAATATTATATGTATTTATTATGTAAGTTTTTGTATTTATAAAAATTTTAACTTCCCTAAATCTGCCACTTAACGTGGGTAAAACAGAATAGATAAATGAATTTTCAAATATAAAATAAGATGCTCAGATAAAACGTAAGTATATATGAGGTATATTATACCCGCTGTCTTGCTCTTTTTCTATAGAATACTTAAATATCAATTGTAGCTACTGTATAAGTCGCATATATAACTTAGAAGATTTCTATACAATATGACTATAGAAACATAAACAGTAGTAGCATAAAATTAAATTATAGAACGATGTTTGACACAACTGTTTCTAACATGTCATATTCAATGTACCTTTACTTTTTTTCACTTAGTACAAAAGTTACTTTATAAATAGTATCATCTTTTATTATTATTACAATTTATATGTTAGGTGATAGATGGGAAGGGGGGGGGGGGTTATGCTTTCATTGATAAAAAAATCTAAGACAGACAACAATATTCAATATTTTATTGGGTTACAAAACTAATACATACAAACCAAAATATAAAACTAATACCACTTAAGCCAATCTCAATAACTGATAAATTCATCTAAAAGTAGAGATATATACATGTTTAAAAGTAATGTCAATATTATTTACAATTATACGTCATTACCTATTGATAATATATTTTATTAACCCATTCAAATAAATAAACCAATGACCAGTTAAAAAATATATAAACGATGTCCAAAATAACATATATTTTAAAAAAGCAAAAATAAAAATTTAATTAATACAAATATTTTATATTTTTAAATTTATTTCGGGTAAGTGTGAAAAATATTTCCTTATATATCTTACCCAATGATATATTTGAATATATTTGTGCAATTATTGGTGCAATAATCATTATAATTCATAAATGTTAAATAACTTAGTTTTATGTTTTTAATTTATTATAAATTTATCTACAGTTTTTGATTTTTTTGTGCAGGAATCTAAAAAAGTATTTATAAAAATTTTAACTTACATTGCCTATGAGATAACCTTAAAACCCTATTTAATATTATATCTATTTATTATGTAAGTTTGTTTTTTGTGCAGGAATCTAAAAAAATAGTATTTATAAAAATTTTAACTTACATTGCCTACGAGATAACCTTAAAAACTTATTTAATATTATATGTATTTATTATGTAAGTTTGTTTTTTGTGCAGGAATCTAAAAAAATAGTATTTATAAAAATTTTAACTTACATTGCCTATGAGATAACCTTAAAAAACTTATTTAATATTATATGTATTTATTATGTAAGTTTGTTTTTTGTGCAGGAATCTAAAAAAATAGTATTTATAAAAATTTTAACTTACATTGCCTATGAGATAACCTTAAAAAACTTATTTAATATTATATCTATTTATTATGTAAGTTTGATTTTTGTGCAGGAATCTAAAAAAATAGTATTTATAAAAATTTTAACTTACATTGCCTATGAGATAACCTTAAAAAACTTATTTAATATTATATGTATTTATTATGTAAGTTTGTTTTTTGTGCAGGAATCTAAAAAAATAGTATTTATAAAAATTTTAACTTACATTGCCTATGAGATAACCTTAAAAAACTTATTTAATATTATATCTATTTATTATGTAAGTTTGTTTTTGTGCAGGAATCTAAAAAAATATTATTTATAAAAATTTTAAATTACATTGCTTATGAGATAACCTTATAAATATGTTTTTTAAGGTTATCTCATAGGCAATGTATAAAAGTAAAATGAAATTTACTGATGATGATGGTATCTTGTCTATGATAGTTTTTCTCGATGTGGTGTCGTTTTTTTGATGTAATTTCCTTGCTCGTAACTTGCCATAAATAACTGGAAATAAGACGTGTAAATTGAAAGTGTGCGTTGCAACGCTGCGTTTCAAAAAGCAAACAATGCATTTTAAATGCATTCGTTCAAATTGAACACATTTCCGTTTTTCATTTAAATTATTTTTTTCAAAACCTAAACCTGCTTGCACACCATCAAAAATGTAAGAATATATATAATTAAATCATCATTTATTAATTATTTTAGATCATGGAATGAAGAAATAACAAAAAGATATATTAATTTCATGCAAGCCACGGTTGCTGACAGACCTACTGTCAGTAATTTTCAGGAATCCCCTCCTCAAACAAGGAACCCTGCTAAAAATCAAAATGATTTGCAAAAGCTTATGAGTGTATTGGAAAAAAAATCTTCTAGTATCCAGTAATTCTTATTTTTATCTATAATTTATTTATCTTTTATATATAATCTTTTTGGATAGCCTGGTTGATGTATTGGAAGGTTACAATTCTGATGAAGACTATTTTTTCAAGACAGGTTTTAAAAACAATGCAAATTATCAAGATTAATAGAAGAAATACAGAAACATCTGAAACAGCTTTAGATATTTTTAATACTATATAATTTTGATATTTATATTTGTTATATTGTTAATTTTTGATATATTGTTATTAATAAAATTTTTATATAATTAGTAGTGGATAATTATGTGTTAACTTCTTCCTAAAATGTTATTTTAAAAATATAAATAAGATTTTAATATATAGCAAAACATGATTAATATTTGTAATTATGTTAACTGGCTAAAGTCAAGGTTTCACTCTTATGATTGAGGGCAATTTAAAATTTTTGCATTGTTAAGTTTAATATATATATAAATCTAATCTACAACCTTTATCCCCATTATTAATCCTCAACTTTGGATCCCACTTCATTTAATCTATTACAATTAACACTAACCTTACAAATATATAACTAAACTTAAAATTATTTCATGATCAATACTTTATTCAAATTTTATTTAATATTAATAAATTTATTATAATAGTAATATAAATAAAATTATTATAATAGTAATATAAATAAATTTACCGCCGGGGTGGCCTAATGGGTAAGATGTAGGCTTGGAAACACGAGTATGAACAAGGACGCGGGTTCAATCCTGGTAAGAACCATAAAAACTTTCAAGTTTTTCTTCGATGACTGATGTGTAAAGACATATGGTATGATGAATTTCGGAGCTTAGAGATGACACCCCGGACACCGACAGGCCTGGACAGCCGGGTGCTAAGGATACCTGTCCAATAAACAAAATGAAGGGCACAAATGAAAATATGAATATGAAAGCTAGGGCGTTACCTCCATGCGACGTGCAGGGTGTAGACCTCCATCCTGTGAAAAATAAAGTAAAGGTCAAAGCAAAGAAGACAAGACTGGCAAGTTTGAATATTGGGACGCTTAAAGGTAAGACGAGAAAATTGGCGACGAAATGGAAAGGACAGAAAACTTTGATGATTGGAGATGGGTATACAATAGGAACGGTGTCGGCATCATCCTCAGCCAAGACCTAACCTCTTCAGTAGTAGAAGTCAACAGGATCTCTGATAGACTAATGAAGATAAAACTGCATTGGTCAATCAATACTACACATCCTATCAGTATATGCTCCTCAAACGGGTTGCAAGGAAGAAGAGAAAGATAACTTTAGAGCTATCCTTGATGAAGCTGTAATGGAAATCCCTAAGGCTGACCTAGTCATAATTGGTGGTGACTTAAATGCGCATGTGGGGAAAGCAAGAGATAGCTACAAAAGGCATCATGGTGGTTTTGGATACGGAGAAATGATGAAGGAGAGCACGCTCGCAGAAGATTAAAAGATGTAATAGACTGCAAAGTCATCCCAGGAGAAGATATCGCCGCGCAACACAAGCTACTAATCACGGATTTACAAATCTCAAATAAATCCACTCAAAATAAGATAAAACTGGAACCATGCATCAAATGGGGCAAATTAAAAACAATGACAGATGCCTTTGCAATTGCAAACATTGAAACAATAAATTGCTCACAAGTCAGTGAAAAAATCTGGACAGACCTTTCATCCAGATTAATAGACACTGCAAAATCGACGCTAGGCTTGACAAGAGGTCACACAAATAACTATGGTGGTGGAATCAAGAGGAACAAACCACTATACAGGAGAAAAAAGCCCTTATATAATATGGTACAAATCCAAAAATGCAGATGACAAGTCAAGATACAAAAAATCCAAGAGATTAGCTACAAAGGCGGTGGCTATGGCCAAATCTATGGCATACGATGACATGGGGTCCAGACGATATTCCAATAGAAAGCCTTAAAGCACTAGGAGATGATGGAATACATCTCCTCACGAATCTGTACAGTAAAATACTTGGAAAGGAAGAGGTTCCCCAAAAATGGAGGAAGAGCTATCTAGTTCCTATCTTCAAAAATAAAGGGGATCCACACAATTGTCAAAATTACAAAGGCATAAAACTAATGTCACACTGTCTAAAACTATACGAAAAAATAATAGAAAAAAGATTAAGAGATATAATCGAAATAGGAGAGACAGTTTGGCTTTATGCCTATAAGATCAACAACCAATGCTATCCATGCAATTAGGCAAATGAGTGAAAAATACAGAGAAAAGAACAAAAAGCTACACATGGTCTTTCTCGATCTAGAAAAGGCCTTCGATAGAATCCCAAGATAACTTATCTGGTGGGCGCTGCCACAAAAAAGTTCCCGAAAAATATATAAGAATAATACAGGATATGTATATGGGACATACAACAATGGTCCGTACAGGTACTTCAGCAGGCTTCACAATAACCGAAGGAGTTCATCAAGGGTCGGCTCTCAGCCCACTTCTCTTCATTACAGTAATAGATGTATTAGCACAGTCTATACCTCAAACAGTCCCGTGGAATATGATATTTGCAGATGATATTGTGATACTTGCCGAATCCAAGGATGAAATGAAAGAAAGGTTAGTAAGTTGGATAAATATCCTAGAAACGCACGGATTAAAAGTAAATAGAGAAAAGACGAAGTATATGGTGATAGGAGGAGATGAAACGGATATTATTGATATAAATGATTGGCAGATATCCGCAATTAAAAGCTGCAAATATTTTGGCTCCACTATACAAACAAACGGCACAATAGAAAAAGAGATAAAGAATAAGATTAATCAAGGGTGGTTAAAGTGGAGATCTTTATCTGGAGTGCTATTTGACAAAAGAATCCCACACAAATTAAAGGGAAAAATCTACAGTTCCTTAGTACAACCAACTATTCTATATAGTTCGGAAACATGGCCAACCAAAGAATCAGACGAGAGAAGTCTACAAACTATGGAGATGAGAATGCTGAGGATGATTGCTGGGGTAACAAGAAAGGATAAGGTGCGCAGTACAAGAATAATACTAAATAGTTTAAAGGTAGTGCCCATTAAGACTAAGTTAATGGTAAACAGACTTAGGTGGTATGGGCACACAATGAGAAGGCCTATGAACTACATAGGAAATAAAGTTGAAAGTTTGGAAGTGATGGGCAAACGTAAAAGAGGAAGGCCAAAACTTCAATGTGGCCATAAAGTTAGAGCCAATATAAAGAAGTATAAAATAGATAAAAGAGATTGTATGAATAACATAAAGTGGAGAGAGATGTTGAAGGAGCTTACCACCAAAGAGAAAAAAAAAGTAATATAAATAAATTTATTATAATAGTAATATAAATAAATTTATTATAATAGTAATATAAATAAATTTATTATAATAGTAATATTAATAAATTTATTATAATATAAAAATTTAAGAATTTATAAAATTTTTAAATTTATCCCTAATGATTTTAGATTCCTGTGAGCTTGAGTTGTTTTCCCTGCTTGCCAAAAATGGTCTTGTTGTAAGGTTAGCCAATGTAGGATCTGTGTTGATGATAATATAATTTTAAAAATATATATAAATATGATTTTTATATATTTATTTAATTTAAATATTGGTATTACCTATATCATCAATGGAAGCTGATCCTTCTTTGTTGATGATAATGTTATGTAGGATGAAAATAGCCTTTATCAACTATCTCTATGCTAGGCAGTCCTATTTCTATTGGCTTACTTAGAATGTCAAATTTTTTTACTATTCTACCAAAGCTTCTTTCTTCACTTACTCGAGCATGGCACAGCCTCATGTTATATTCCCTTTCTTCTGTTGTCAGATTTCTTTTGGGGTAGGGCTTCATCAAATAATTTGACAAAGGGAATGCGTCGTCCCCAACCATTACAAATGGCATGGCCTCATTACAACCTGGAAATGGTTTGGGAGCAGGCATATCAAGTGTATGGTTCATCAATTCTATTAATATATTTATAAGATATATTAAAATTAATATAAAGTAACCTCTATATTAAGAGCTATTTCTAAAAACACCACCATCACTTTGCTTTCCATATGCACCCACATCTAGTTATAAAATTGTGAGCCACTATTGGCAGGGCTCTTGATATATATATGCTTTCCATCTATAGCCCCAATACAATTTAGGAATCCTGATTGAAGCAGGAATTCCTGGGAAATCTAAAGATAAGTAAATATTAATCTTGATTTATTATAATAAATTTACTTTTTCCCAATCATTTTTATTAGGCTTAGGCATGTGAATATGTGCAGCAGCATTCCAAATTGCTGTGCACACTGATTTCACAATATAACTTATATAGGATTTTGAGATCCTTGAACTATAAGCTAGTTGTGCAAATGATACACCAGTTATTAATACCTATTATATAAATAATTAATAATAAATTAAATTTATTTTACCTTAATGTAACAAACAAACGATCCTCAGCATCGATTTGTTTGTTACAGTTAGTAACTTTTGGATTAATGTCCTCATATATGAGCTCCAGTATATAAGAAAATGTTGCTCTTCTCATTCTTGTATAGTTATAAAATTGCGAATTTGTTAAATCGCCTTTAATATTAATATATTCTGAAAAAAGATTTCTTTTAACAAATATTTTGGACGTCTTGCTCTTCTTCCTTCCTTTATTTCTTTGTAGTAAATACAAAGCAAGTAATTTTTTTTGTTTTAAATTTAAATGTTTCATATTGAAAAAATAAAAGTTAACGCATCAATTTATACATGGCTGCGTTTACGTTTTTTTATATGCGTTTTAAAACGCTGCGTTGCAACGCACAATTTGTACGCACTATAATGACCTGTTAAAAAAATTGAAATGGGAAAAAGGAAAAAAAGTTGATTATAAAATATAAGACTTTTTTCTTAAAAAAATTTAGATTAATATTTAATTTTTCAAATTTATAAAAATAAAAAGTGTTTTTAAAATTGAACGAACGTTAAATTCGAACGCGTTCGTCTTAAAAAAGGAACACGTTCATGTTCAAAGTTCGTCAAAAATAAAAGGAACGCCATTTGCCATTTTTTTCATAAAAACAAACTTCGTTCATGAACGCGTTTAAAATGAAAGCGTTCTTTTACAACACTAAAAAATATATAATAATAAATATTTTACAATTAATGGCCACCAATATATTTGAAGAAATGAAT